AAAGAAAGAAGAAAGAAAGAAAGAAAAACCAAGGCTGGGAGAGGATGGGTGTGTATTTAATCCCAGAACAAGAAAGGAATGGAGGGAGGGAGAGTGGGAGGGAATGGAAGGGAGGAAGAAAATTTCCAAGGCTCTCTTTCTCCTCTAGTGCTAGGGTCAGAAAGGCCAGCATTTGTACTAAGATAATCCCTATAGCCATCTTAACTTGAATATGAAAATCTAAATTCAAATTATGTGTGAAACTCATAGCCCTCACTATGCCTCCAGTCTACCTGTTCCTTCCTATTGCCCATAACACTTCTTTTTACCCATCACTGAAATCCCATCTCTGGAGGAGGCTGCACCAGAGCTGTGCCTTGAGGAAGTAGTAGGATTTCCCAAACTTAAAGAAAAGGAAAAATTTCATCTTTTTGAAAAACATAATGTCTGTGCAAAATCAGAGATGGCTCACAGGCATGGATCCTAGGCCTACAAGTCAGGAGGATGGAGTTCAAATCAGGCCCAGCACTAAATAACTCACCCCATGGCCCTCAGCACTCATGTAAGTCTATGGGAATGTTGTACACACATATATTCACCATTGCATATATTCACACGATATTCTCCTATATATACATATATGCCTACATATTCTCATATAGACTTGCAAGGTACATATTTATATAAAATTTACACATACACAATATCCATATAAATACCATGAATACTCACACATATGCCCCCACACATACTTGCACACACATATGCTAGCGAATTCTCTCATGCATAAACATAGCACTTATATACTCACACACACACACACACACAACACGCACAGGTAAATAGGCCTTACTTAGTTGAAGCTCTGAGCAGACAAACCCCAGCCCTCCATGGGTGTGGAAGTAGTCCCTTCCTCACCTTACTGTGCATATGCAGTTGCCTAGTGGCAGTGACCAGTTTCCTTTCCTGAAAGTGTCCACTAGTTGTCCCCAAAAACATGCTTTTATGTGTTTAGAATTTATTGCTCAGATCAGAGACATTGTGTTTTAAGCCTAACTTGACTACCCTTTCTAAGTTAGTATCTACATAAGGCAGATATGAAGGCACATACCTATAAAGCCTGCAAAACCTGCACTCTGGGAAGCTGATACAGTAAGATCACAAGTTAGAGCCCACCTTGAACAATTTAGCAACTTGGTGGCACTCTGTCTCAAAATAAAAAATAAAGAAGAACTGGGGATATAACTCTATGTAAAGAGTCTAGGTCCAATGTCCCGTACTGCAAAGATATTATCTATCCGTTATTATCTGCGGATAATGCTTAAATTTTCATCAAAGCTGAAATACTATATTTTTTTCCTTTTTGCCCTGGTGCTGCTGACTGAACCCAGGACCTTGGGCATGCAAGGCAAGAACTCTACCATTGAGCCACATCCCCAACCCTGAAATACTATGTTTTAAACTTTTCTTTTAAAATGATGGCAGAGGGTCAGCCAAATAGCTCAGCAGACTAAAGCACCTACTTAGGCAGAAACAGGGGCCAGGGTTCCAATCCCTGGCCTGCTGTGCAGGCCCCACCCCTGGAGCACACTGAGAGGGATATTGAGATTGGGCATGGTGGTGCACACTTGTAATCCCAGCGCTTGGGAGGCTGAAAACAGGAGGATCACTATGAGTCCAATCTATGTAGTGAGGCCGTGTAGACTCTGTAGACCTTGTACTAAATTTAAAAAAATTAAAATAATGGCAGGAAGTTGCAAAGTTAGTATAGATTTCCTGTGTCCCCTTTATCCTAGTGTTTCTAATATTTACATCTTCCATAACTATAATGCAATATCAAACTCAGGGGCTCAACATTGGTATAATGTATATGCACAGTTCCATATGAATTTACCACATGTGAGTTTATGCATTTACCGGTACACTCAAGACACTGGAAAAGTTTTTATTTTCATTGTTTTATTCAATTGTTTTTTTTAATTTTATTGGTATACTTTAGATATATATAATGATCACATTCCCTATAGGGAATTGGTATCTGTACATAATATAACTTGACTCTTTTTTTCCTTCAGTTTCCTCCCCTCCCTTCAGGCCCTCTTCCCCTTCTTATTTACAAAAGCTTTGTTTCAATTTTTGCCTTCTATTCTTCATGTTCTTTTCCCCTCTTTCCTTTCCCCTTCTTCCCTCCTTGTTTGCCTTCCCATTTGAACATTTTCTTCCTATTTCCCAGGGTCTATCACACATGTTGGTCCTTGTTTACGCTTTTGATTTCTCACAGCAGAGAAACAATATGACATTTAAACATGTATGTCTGAATTATTTCACTTGAGAGTATGGTTTCAAGCTGCATCCACTTATCTGGAAATGTTCCAATTTTATCCTTTATGGCACAGTTCTACTCCATTGTATGAAAAAAAATCCAAATCTTTATCCATTCATCAGTTGACAGACATTTGGGCTGTTTCCAAGATTTAACTATTACAATTGGAAACATTTATTACCAAAAAAACTTATATTGTCTTCTTATAGCCACACCCATTTTCTCCAATTCCACTCCAAATCCTTGTTAAGCACTAATCTATTGTTTATTTCTGGGATTATCATTTCAAGAATATTATATGAAAGAAATAATATCGTGTTTGGAGATTGGCATTTTTCACTCAGCATAATATCCTTGAGATTCATCCAAATTGTGTATGTCAATATTTTGTTCCTAAAAAAATGTGTGAATCTCAAGGGCATTATGCTAAGTGAAAAAAGCCTATCTCCACACATGATATGCTGTAAACATTTGTGTACAGGTTTTCTTGGGAACATAACTTCATTTTCTAGGGTGAATTCTTAAGGGCATGATTCCTAGGTCAAATAGTAAGTGTATGTTTAGTTTCTTAAGAAAATGTTTTCATTTAGTTTCCAAGTGGCTGTACCAATTTTCCATTACCCCAGACTATTCTATGTATATACTTATTACCCCTCTCCCTGATTAGAATGCTAGCCACAGAAGGGTAAGGTCAACATTTTGTTTCTGCCATCTTCCAAATGCCTCAAACAGCACTTGGTACAGAGTAGGCACTAATACATATTCACTGAGGAAATGAAGAAAACGTAGCTTCCAGCCATCAAAACAACTTTAACAAAACTCAAATACTCAAACTTAGGTTGCAGAATAGAAAACCTAATACTCCTCTCATCTGCATTCCAATTTTCCCATCTAAGTGCCTCTAGTAACACCTTCCCCAGTTCTAATGCCTCCATCTGTCCCATCGTACAGCCCCTTTGTCATGGTCAGCCTTCTTTCTTCTAGTTTCTTAGGTCTTGCAACGCTGTGGAGTTTTGTCCTTGTACTATTCCATATCTCTGCCAATGCTATCTATTCCCTTTAAAACCTGTCCAGATATTCATGTCCTCCAATTAGCTTTGCATAACTAACCCAATGGGAATTTCTAGCTGGGCATGGTGGTGCACTCCTATAATCTCCACCCTCAGGAGGCTGAGGCAGAAGGACTGAGTTCAAGGCCATCCTGGACTACATAAGGAAGTTCAAGACCAACTTGCACTATATAATGACCTTATCTAAAAAAAAAGGGATATCAAAAGAAAGAGTACAAACCTTTAACAAGGTTTGTATGGTAGGAGCCAACCAATCCAAGTGGAAGCCACTGAGAATTCAGGAGCAGAGTCTTGGAGGTCTCGTATTGTCAGGAATTAACCTCTTAATTGGTCTGTATTTGTCAAAAGATCCCAGGGAGGGCACCCAGGAAGCTTAGGGGAGAAAGAATCCTTCAATGTTTTACAATCAGCATGATTACACCAGTGCATCCTGACTGAGTGGCAGCCTTACGTAACATGCACATACACGCACATACAGTCCTCATTATCTGCAGATTCTGTTTGCAAAATTGCTTTCTCCCTAAAATATATATGTAACCACTAAAATCAATACATGT